TTTTCTTTTAATTTTTGTGTGAACTTGGACTTGACGAGATTTTTTCAGTGAAACTGTTTGCCTCTGGATTTATTAATAGCTCAATTTTGCGCTCAATTTTTAAAATAATTATAAGAGTAACTATAGTACTAAAATTTTTATTTTATTTACAAATAAGAATCTTATTAAATTTAATTTTCGTGAGATTTTTTGAAAGATTAATTTTTATATTAAAAAAAGCTAAAATTTTTGAGAAAAATTTATCTTACCAATTTTTAGGTAGATTTCGTAGAAATCTATCTATTGCATTGGACCTTGTGTCGGAATTCATACGGAATTTTGTCATTTTATCTCTTATATAGTCGAGTAAAGCTCAAAATTAGCATTGGTTCAAAAGTTTATATATTTATGTATATTAGGGTGTGCCAATTTTAGGCGACTTTTTTTTTTTTTCAACGAAAAAACAGGCTGGAAACTTGCATGTAGCTGAGAACAGAAGCCTGTTCAAAGCGGAGCTCTTAGTATTAATATTTAGAGGTGTCTGTCCCTAATTTTTCATTTCCCATTTAATTAACATAAGAAAAAAAATTTTTTTTTTGTTTATTTTTCTAGCTCGGCATACGCAACTCATATAAATAAGTCCATAGCATATTCTTGTAGAGAATTCAACGCTCTACAAAAAAAAGTCTCTTACACTTTTATCATAAAGACAGCCGTTCTAAAGTTATTCAGACGTAAACTTCTAAATGTATAAAATTTTGAATTTTCAAGTATTAAACTGATACAAATTAATTTATTACTGTCTTAAAAATTATTTTTATATGTAAAATTGGTTCCCCTGATAAAAAAAAAGGTATTAAGACAAAGAAAAAATTATTGAAAAGTATTGGTTCTCTAGTCAATCTAATACTTTTTAATACTTTTTTCTTTGTCTCAATACGTTTTTTTATTCAGGGTCTGATGCGCTAACATTTTCATAAAGCTAAAAAAAAAGTTACTCATGTATCAAATTTTTTTCTTCTTCATTCCATTTACTGTAAGAAAATCATGACCCAGATTAAATGAATTAAATTTTAAAAAATTTTTACGGAATTATCAATTTATTACTCTACACGGAGAGAAAAGATAAGTTTGGAAAATCAGAAAAGTGCACTTCTCATAACGCTCATTGATCACAAGAAAATCTGGAAAACGGTTGACTCTAAAGGCCATCCCTGTAACTTCTGCTAAATCTATATCTAAACGCTTAAAATTGCACTTATGAGGTTTTTTAGCTCTTCAAGTCAAAAGTCTGATGAAAGTTTCGAAGAACACTAATTTTTGAACTTTCGAACCGATCGATCGACCAATCAACCCATTTTCACGTTCTTGGCAACAATCGACGTGGTTTTCTAGACACCAAAAATTATTTTATTTCATCAAAAAAAATCCAAAAGAAATATCGACGTTATGTAAAAAAAAAACTTTTTTTTCGATTATTCATTAATTCATTTAAAAGTTATTGCACTTCGAAAGTTCAAAAAATAGTGTTCTATGAAACTTTTATCAGACTTTTGACTTGAAGAGCTCAAAAACCTCATAAGTGCAATTTTAAGTGCTTAGATATGGAATTAGCGGAAGTTGCCGGGATGGCCTTTAGGCTCAACCATTTTCCAGATTTTTTTGTGATAAATGTGCGTTACGAAACGTGCACTTTTCTGATTTTCCAAACTTATCTTTTCTCTCCGTGTAGAGTAATAAATTGATAATTCCGTGAAAGTTTTTAAAAATTTGATTCATTTAACTCGGGTCATGATTTTCTTACAGTACATAAAAGAAAGAAGAAAAAAATTTTTTTCACCGGTGTAATATTTCGAATTTATGCGCGATTTGGGAAAATAATAATAATGATTATGATTAGTATTACTTTTAAAATTTGAATTGTTGCAAGTATTTTTTAAAGAATATTATTACTAATGATAAGTATATTATTATTAATGCTAGAATTTCAATAGAGAATTCTTTTAACAATTCTCGATTTAAAATTTTTATACGATTTCTTGCAAGAATAATATTCATTATGACAACGCTGAAATAAACATCCTAAATAAAAACAGTTTCGCTGCCGGTGTAAAAAAGATTATATATAATTATACATAACTTAGATATAAAAAATGGCCCTATATAATTATTTCTAGAAAAATAAAAAAAAATTCGGCGAGTGCGGGGATCGAACCGGGGACCTAGCGCTACAGTGACTAACGCGCTACTTTTTTTTTTTTGAAAAGTAAGTTTATTAATTTCTCTCAAAATACATAACAGGGTTTCAAAAAGTATAAAAATTACTTAAAAATACTTTAACATAGCAATACTTAATGTAAATTGTACTAACTGGCTACGAGTTGTAGATCTCGTTAGTTATAAATATTAAATAATATAATTTCCTTATTACATAGCTTTAAATAGAAACATTTTTATGTTAACATATGAGGTTCTTAAGATGTAAAAAATTATGGTATTAAAAATACATCTGACGTTGACTGACGCGCTACCGGTTTACCTATTGAGACTTACTTGAACAGCAGACTTTAAAGTAACTACAAGTAATGCAGATCGTCAACATAATCAATTTTTATAAGTTAACTAAATTAATGCAGTTCTTATTATTTCATCTACAAAAAATACTATAGATCAATAGATTATTAATGATTGGAGTAGCAGACTCTAAGATAAAAAAATTAAATACAATTGTATATGATTCAAATAGAATTATATATGATTTCCGTATAGTTGCACTGATAGAAGGATTTGTTTATATTTAATTTAATAAGCTTTGTTAACTATTAATAAATGATTTTTTAACATCATAGGATTTAATTAATATTTATTAACAGTTAATAAATTATTTATTAAATACGATTCATTAAATGTTAATAAATAATTGTTAACAGTTAACAAATATTTGTTAACAGTTAATAAATATTTGTTAACTATTAATAAATACTTATTAACTATTAATAAATGTACTTTCCTCCCAAATAAATATTTATTGAATGTTAAAAAATATTTATAAAAATTTAATAAATTAAAAAATTGTCTTCCAACAAATTAAATTTCTAATAGTTAATAAATCCTTTCATCAGTTTACATATCATTATATATAATTGTATAAAATAATGTTTGTAACTTTTGTACAATTCTATAGAATCCCATAATAATCCTATAATAAAATTGAGATGAAATGTATGTGAAACCAATTTATTCGTCATGTGATTGGTCGAAAATAAATATTCTCATTCTGATTGGTTGAAAGTGAATGTAATATACATAAACGACACATAAATATATCATGACAATAAATATAAAGCGCGCGCTTGCGCGCGTAAGTTAAATTCTAGTCCCATAATAAAATTGAGATGAAATGTATGTGAAACCAATTTATTCGTCATGTGATTGGTCGAAAATAAATATTCTCATTCTGATTGGTTGAAAGTGAATATACTATACATAAACGACACATAAATATATAATGACAATAAATATGACGCGCGCGCTAGCGCGTGAAAATTGAATTCTAGTTATATAAAATTAGATATGATTATATCTAATTATATATAATTATATGGAATTATATATGATTATATATAATCATTGGAAAAATGCTAGATCTCATTATATATAATCCTATATAATTATTAAAAAATGCTGCATCTAATTATATATAATCATATATAATTATTAAAAAATACTGCATCCAATTATATATTATTATATTTAATTACATATAATCATATATAATTATATGTAAGTAATATATAATTATATATAAGTAATATATAATAACATATAAGTATATATAATTATTAGGATATGTAAGTAATATATAATTATATATAAGTAATATATAATAACATATAAGTATATATAATTATTAGGGCCAGGAAGTTGGCGTTTTTTCTTTGTTCAAATTTGAGGTTAAACATATGAGTGCTCATTTAAGCAACTGCGAAATTCCTGGCCCTAATAATTATATATAAATATTTTTACCCGGGTGTAAGCTATTGCGCTAAGGACACACTCAACTGTTATTACCAACTATAATAATTCGAATTAAAAAAAAAACTATTGAATTAAAAAAAAAACCAAGTACAAAAAATTTTTTAGATTGAAAAAATGCCAGTGGATATTAAGAAAAAAATTCCATGTACTTGGTGAGCATCATTCGAATTCTTTAATTATCCATCACAGTTTTTCAATTTGATATTAATAGTATAAGGTGCATTTGCGTTGGACGCTCACACGCTTTGAGCGCGCTTAAATGTCGTTTTCAGCGTTCGACTTGGTACTGTGAGCGTCTTAAAATCACTCCCGTGGCTGAGTTCAAGAGACAAATTTCTCGTTTACAGACGCTCACGCCACAGAGGTAGGGCAGCAAATGCGTGAGCGCTAAATTTCATTATTTATCAAAATGAACACTTGTGAGCGTAAGCTAACCAAATTTAACTGTAGTGATTTCTAAGTACATAAAAGTTAAATTTTTCAAGATCCAGTAAAAATTTTAATATAAATACCTATAATTTCCATAATTCAGGGATTACTTAAATAAATGTATTTTATAAGCGTTTCAAATATAGTACTTAAATTTAAAAGAGATAAAGATTGTTGTTTACATTAAAGATTTTATAGTTTATTGTGCTGCTTAAATTTTTCAAATATTTTTGAATATAATAAACGAATATTTTTGAAAATTAAGAAATATTATCTTTTATTTAGCAAACTCACTTAAACGGTCGTATACAATTTAAATTACAATTGTTTAGAAATATAAATTATTCTATCCAAAATATAGATTATATTAATAACTTTAAAAAATTTACATTTCTGTGGTGGACCTAATATAATTAAAATAAAAAAATCCATACCATATTTTTATGGCATAACAAAATTTGTAGGTAGTTGCTTCACAATACAATTACAGTTATTTTTATCACACATTTTTTATAATTACTTGATCACAAATACGATTCCGTTTTTCGACACTTTCAGCTAATATCACTATTTTGGCTATTATGGTTTATGTCATTCATATTTCTATTTTCTTCGATTATTTCGTCAATGGGAAATTCATCTTCTTTAAATAAGCATATATTATGCAATACACAACAAGCAATGATGTATTCAGGTATTGAATCTGTTCGATTCATCTCTAAAACAATAAGTAAGCTGCAAAATCTTTTTGTAAGTAATCCAAATGCACGCTTAATAGCTTCGCGTTCTAAGGAATGACAAAAATTATAATTTTTTTGTCGTGCTGATAAGTGTCCATTATCTCGATACGGTGTTAATAAATGTTTGTGGAGAAGATAAGCCACATCGCCAACTAGATGACAATCATTTGGAAATTTCTCTTAGTCACTGAGATAACCATGCACTTTTAATAAACGGAATACTCGTGCGTCATGTACAAAGCCAAGATGACCACCATAAAAGTGGATAAATTTACTTTGAGCATCACAAACAACCTGTTTTGACCTATAATGTAAAGATGAAAATATTTAAAGATTTTTACACGTGACTGCTTATACTTACTTGTAATTGAATCGAATGATGTCCCTTTCTATTGACATAAGATTCCGGATGTTTGTGTGGTGTAGGAATATTTATATGCGCTCCTCCAATTGTACTGATAATTTTAGGGAAACCGCTCGTTACTTCAAATTGATTAAAAATTTCTTTAAACTTCTCGTTTTCAGGTCAAGTTACAAAATGTAGAGCTATTTCAACTAATACTGATGTAACTCTTCGTAAACTTGATAACAAAACTATTAACGCCAAATTTTTGATATATAGACCTTCAAAAACAATTCATTCAGTTAAAATCTGTTTTATAACGAATAATTTTACCTGAAACTTTAGTAATATTCTTTCATTATACCTATATGAGTCTGGAGTGGCCATTTTCCATATAGCGATGAATAATTGTTTTTCGGGCGGTATCATTGGAGATCCTGAAATTTTTCTTGTTAATGATGGTTTAATTGTGTCAAGGATAAAATTTAATGCTGATCGACATAACCTAGAATTATTGAAAAATTTATTTGTTTACAATTTAATCCATAAATTTTAATTGGTAAACAAAATTTGACATTTTTATAAAATTCAATTTGAAACTTTATTAATTACCTAAAGTGAGATTCGAATTCTTTATCAGTAAAAGCTGGAAAACCTCTTCAACAAAATTTTGGAGCCTTGGTTTGGATTCTTTTTTAAAAGATAAATTTAAGTAAATATTACAATATTACCACTCCATTTCATCATCACTGTCTTTACTCATATCATATTCATCACTATCAACACTATCAAAATCATCGTTGATTATTTCCAATAAATTTATTTACTATTTGATAAAAATTTCCCACATTCGCCATGTTGATACAAACTAACGCTCACAACGTCCAAAACGAACGATATTTTCTGATTAATTCTAAGCGTTCGTAAGTCTACACGAACGCCAATAATTTGTGCTCATAAGCGTGAGCGCTCAAAGCGTGTAAGCGTCCAACGCGAATGCACCCATAAACTATAATTCACATCAAGTACAATAAAAGCTCTTAAAAGTTATCCAGGTTGTCTTTCTTACTCTTATTAGTGTTTTATGAAAAATTGAGACCGAACTACGGTAACTTTTAACAACTCTCACTGTATATGCAATTTTTTTTCTTAATGAAGATTGGTAATGGTCTTTTGGCTCCACCTACTGTCGTGTATCGAAATTCTTAACTAAAGACCAATAACTTATGGGCGCTAAGTTCAATATTTAGTATGGGCCAAAACACGTCAAGAGGACCACCTTTTTACCACTTGATGATAGAAAACTTATTAAAATAAATTTTTTAATAATTTAAATTATCGAAAGTAGTAACATCTAAAACCATCCTTTGAAACAGTTTATGAAAGTTTTGAATTTTACAACAATTTTTCTTTACAATCGAAATTTTCGGCACTTTGAATTGAAAAACCTATTTTAGGAAAGCTGTTGATGATAACAACAACATTTTCAGTGATTATAGTGAAATATCTATAATTTAATATAAAACTTTTTTGCAAATTTTATTTATTTATTATCATATTTTTAATTAACTTTTAAAAAAACAAATTGAAATTTCAATGACTTTTCAGCACGATATTCGAATTTTCTAACTTCCCGCTAAGAAAATCAAAGATTTTAGAAAATCAGAAAGTTATTGTTTTGACCCCGTTTTGCAAAAATCGAGTTTTCATAAGATTTCGACGTTTTAAGGAAGCTTGGATACAGAGTGACTTCAACTTGACCCCATATTGCACGCCTCATAAGCGGAGCGTTGAAGTTTTGCACGCCTCATAAGCGGAGCGTTAGAGTTGTGCTCTACTCTCGACATTTCGAAAAAAGCAGTTTTCTTGAGCCTGAAATTGATTTTTTGTTATTTATATCCCACTTACAGGTTAATATGAGTACACTTATATCAAATCAAGTAACTTGTCAGGTACATAAAATATATTTCAATAACAATTTTTTTGTTTAACATAGTAAATAATAACATTAAACATAATCTTTTCTGGACGTCCGTGTATGAATGGGTGTATGTAGCAGTGAAATTGGTCGAAGAAATAATTCTACCGAGGTAATTTTTTTTTTATTATCTAAAGTAACATACGACGGATTTTTTTAATTAAGGTAGTTCTTTCCCAACCTATAGTTTATGCTACTGCTGTCTTCGTCACGCGCTAGTGTTGCCTCTCTTGCGGGCTATTGCTCACTTACTTCCACGCATGACTTTATTTGTTTACTTTACTAGTTTATCAATGATTTCTCAAAAACTATGTGGTCGGGAGTTCCAGAATTTTGTAGGGTAATTATACATGTATTAATGTAAGTAATGTTAGTTTTTCGTGAAATTCTTAAAATTTCTTCAATACAAAAATAATAAAATTCGCGGTTTTCTCTCTCTTTTCCCATACCATCTGTGTAAAAATGTCATTTTCAATTGCAATTATCTTCGGTTGGACGTGGTCAATCGTCTCTAAATTTTAACAACGTGTGTATTATGTATTTAACTACTTCTATACGGAGATTGGGAGATTTCTTGAATTTTTGCTTAAAGGGCCGAACTACCTTAATATGAGCGTTCAATTCACTGCCGTTAAATAATTATTTATAAAAAACTAATATATGACTGTGGACTTTTTAGTATATCTATCTATACATTTTATGATAGTATTTTTTTTTCTCACCTTAGAGTTATGGCGTCACTAAGCCATATCAGTTTTCTTTTTTTTCATTATTTTGCTTTTTATATTTTATTACAATCAATTTTATTGTAAAAAAAGAGATAATGAGGCGTGCACTTTTGGATTTTCCAAACTTTTTTTAACTTTCCGCTAAGAAAATCGAAGATTTTCGAAAAATTGGGAAGTTATTGTTTTCAACCCGTTTTGCGAAAATCGTGGTTTCAACAGATTTCGACGTTGTGAAGCCTTAAAAAGCTTCTCTGACTATTATTACGATGATGTCCGTCCCTCCGTCCGTCTGTACGCGCGTGCGCGCGCGTGTGTGTGTGTGTGTGTGTGTGTGTGTGTGTGTGTGTGTGTGTGTGTGTGTGTGTGTGT